ATATTTATGAATATTATTAACATTTTGTTGGAAAAGTTTTTTGAATTAAGTGAATAGTATTTTTTTTATACATGATATTTTATAGAGGTATGATGATTTTTTCCTAAAAATGTAGGTTTTTTACTGTTTTTTTAATGTTATTTGTTTCTATAATAAAAAATAAAAAAAGTACTTCCAACAATTTTTTCAATATTACCTAATATGTAATATTTTAAAAGAATTTTGTCATTTTGACAAAATTTCAGACGCGAGGAGTAATATAAAAAAACATAAAAAATTGAAAAATTTAAATTTTTTAATTTCTTAAATTTTGAAATATTTTTTTGAAATTTTGTATAAAAGTTGTTTTTAGCAATATAAATGTATCCTGACTTTAAATGTCATAAAACTGTCATAAAACTTTTGTTTTTCTATAAATATTTTTTTAGTTTGTTTTGATAGACATATAATTTAATAGGGAGCAGGAAAAAGAGTCGTTGAATAGAACTAGTGATTCTTCTACGATTGCTGATTCTTCTACAATTAACGTAGCAGGTTGCGAAGTTTAACTTCTTCCAAGCGGAGGGACTCCACACACTATTTTTTTTGTAAATGAAGCATAGAAGAAAAGAAAAAGCATTGAAGTATGGAAAGACGAATCCTATATCTTTTTTTTACGAAACATATACATCTTTTTTTAATTTTTACAAACTAACAATTACTTTAAGGAAACAATTTATTTTGACTTTTAGGCTTAACTCAACGGCTAATTTATAATAGTTTCGATGTAAGGATCTTCAAAACATTAAAAGTGATTATTTTAGCAACATTACATAAAGTTACAAAAGTGCATTGAAAATATTACATAATCGCTTGCGTCAAGATTTTAAAATATCCTTCTCGTCACATAAATTTATTTACAACTCATAACTAAAATAGAGATGTCCAAGCCAGAGGCAGAACTTTATCACTCTTTGGAATAAATCAATCAAATATCAAAATTTTATGGTTTTGAATGGCAACTTGTAGTTTGCCCCGTTCCTCGCATTTCCATTCTAATAGAAATGGTACTCGTATTGGTGCATCTGTAACTAACTAATTATTGATGGATTTCCAGAGGACATCCATCAATAATTAGTAAGTTACAGATAAGCGAAGTGACACCACCTTAAAAATACTCCACAATACACAGCAGTAACATATCCCTTAGTTGCCCAACAAGCTAAGACGCGTTAAAAATGAGAAATTAATATCATTATTTGTTTTATTTAAAATTGCAGATGTGCCATCTCTCCTAACCCTAACCTACTTTATTTTGATAAGCGGATTTCAAATTAGTACAAAGTAACTTTCTTAAATAAAATTTAAGGATGCATTTCAAAATTTTACTTTTAAACTATAATTTCAAAAAGTATTTAAAATAAATTATTTTATAAAAAAAAAAGAAAATTACATTTTTTGACTTATCAAATTAAAAAAAAAATGTACAAACCCACTTAGGTAAGCGATAATTACTTACTGGAAAAAATGTGAAAAACATTGCAGTTAAGAAGTCCATATCGAGTATCATTAATAGTGTCCTTAAATACATAAGATGGAAACAAAGATTCTTCTTCTCGGTCAAACACCTGGAATATACATTACAATAATGAGCCTAAGATTGACACCAGTAAAATAAATTTTTGTCGAATGTTTTGGTTTCAAAGAACTAAGATAAAATTTTAAAATTATAAAAGCAACTTTAAAATCTTCAAATTAATCTCAGTTATCGAAAATGGGTTAAATAAGGAAATACAAAAATGCACTTCCTTGAAAGAAAGTATTTTACTTTTATTGGACATATACATGTGTTTGATTCTAAAAATAATGGGGAAGGACTGCTGCAAACTTTGTTGAATTGTTTGGGCAAAAACTTGTTGCTTTGCAGACGACTCCAATTATACACTCGTGGTTCATAACGTGATTGTACGTCCCCTTATGGCCATGAGGATAAAACGTTTGTCTTCTTGGCTTAAGTACCGGAGGATCGCTGAAATCCAGCATAACAATCCGTATGACCGTCCTAAAACAATCGATTCTCTTCTGTGGACAGTTAAGAGGTATCAACCAATATGAGCAGTAATAATGCAGTACGATAAACCGCAACCCCGGCAAGTTATATATATTTTTTAATCAACGTCAAACATGTACTGATAGGCATTTTTTTTAACACGATATAGTACAACAACCATTTACAATTTACAAGGAATGCAGGAATTCCGTACCTGCCTCCGAAGGTGGCAACAATTGATTCTTCATCGGAATTATGAGTCGTGAATTATAAAAAAATAAAGTAGATTTATTTAGAGATAAAATGTCCCCTCAAAGCTCTACAGAAAAAAGTCGGCAAACATCCAGTTCCGATTAGTCTGATGATGAAAGCATCATGAAGGGGAGATGAGTAGATAGAACAATAAAAATCTATATACAAACCGGTAAGATATAAAAATGTGAATGAAATCGTATGAATATATAGCGGTAATACTGTAGTAAATGTCGAAACTAAGTTAAATATAAGACAGACAAACACTAAAAGCTATTTATATTTGTTTACAGTGAGCAAACAAAATAAACAGACCACTTCGAATAACTTTTAGGATCGGATCTTCACGTCCTAGTTTTAATCTTAAGGGATCGAGGGGATGACTTGAACGATGCTGATTAATTAGTGCAGACGAAATTTCAAATTACAAAATCAATGATAAAAATATACTTTCTCTGAATAAACATACCTTTTTTTCAATGAATTTGGATTTCTTACATCCAAAATAAGCCACTATCTGGGAAATAAGGCCGCAATAGTTTGATCAGGAAAGCGGTTAAAGGTTTGAACCATTTACTGTTAAAAATTGTGATATGTTGAAAAATGTTTGCACATAATTCGTTTATCCAAAGCATATACACAAAAAAAATATTTAGTTAATATTTATTATTACTTTATTTAATAATAATCGAAAAAATTTTGAGTTGTATAGCATGCAATGTTTTACATAGTTTTAACGAATGTAATCTTACATTTCAAAGAAGAAAACCTGAGCGAAATCGGCCGAAGATTGAGTCCTAGAACAAGAAGATCCGAACATTAGATCAAAAGTTATTCAGAGTGGTCCGTTTATTATTATTTTTTTTTCTTTTTTGCGCACTGTCATTATGTACAGAGACCAGGATATCCTTCTCTTCCGCAGTTATAGCAGCTTTTTAAACTGAGTGTAACGTTTAAATGCAAACTTAATATGAGAAAATAATCGCTATCGAATAATCGCTAATAATAGCATAATAATCGAATAATCGCAAACTTAATAATAGCATAATAATCGAATAATCGCAAACTTAATAATCGCTATCGAATCTCCACTTCTGTACGCATTATAATTGTCACCACTGTCGTCTGCTTTCCATGAATATACTGAATACCAAGCCATTTGCATATGACGTCATGTTAAATCCATCATGCAAGGTTTACGACTATGTGACGCCATCATTCTGACGTAGCAATTTTGACGAGCAGTGTATTATCGTCAGCGGAAGCTTAATTGCAACAAAAACTTGAATAAGAGCATTGCATACCGAAGTAGTAAAGTAAAAGAATTCTTCCGCTGGGTTAAGGGTTTTATTTTGTCCATCTGTAGAGTAGGGAAAGAGGCTCCCAGTTGCCGGTATTTCTTTAACATTACAAGTGAAATCTAGAATGGAAAATAAATTAGTAGATTATTTTTAAAAAATAAATTTTGAGATATTTCTGCCTAATAAAAAAGATTAAAGCACACGCAACCTTTAGCGACATATGGGTCAACTAATTAACAAAACTTAAGGTAAAATCAATTGTGCATAATACATTTAGACGTGTCAAATAGCATTAAACCTCTAAATTTATTTCTGTGGTAACATTCTAGAATATAATATTCCTAATTTTATTTCTTAAATTAATGTTTTTTGTTTGCTTTTTTTAAGTCAAAATACGTTGAACAAAATATTAAATTTTACGTTTTCTGAAATTTTATTATTAGAGTAAATCTGCAAATAGTATTACCGTAAACTAAATATTTCATTATTTAGACTAAATATCTGTACGATGAGCCTAATTCCAATCTTAATAGTTTGAAAGGTTGACACTAATTAACGTTAGTTTCGAGTTCAGTTTTTATGCCATTAAAACTTGTTGTTACGTTTTTCATAGAAATAATTCAAATTTTTAACTTTAGTCATGAGTTTCATATTTGCATGTGGTTTGAAACGCTTCTTTCAAGATGGTAGATCAAATAATGAGAATATATATATATNTATATATATATGTTGATTATAAAATTACACTTTCGAAAGGCTACATAAAAGAAAGGAGCTACTGGTCAGAATGACATAATGTTTCATAAAAGTGTACAGGAAGCAAAATAAATTCGTTTTACTAAAGAAAAAATAATTCAAATTTGACTAATAGATGGGCGCTATACTAATCAAAAATTGACTGCTTTAAAGGATGTGATAATTTTAAGATGGTTATTAAAGTTGCAACTTTGTTATTACATAACTAAGGTAAAAAAATGATATACTAACTTTGACAAGCTTATTCCAGATTTAACCAGACTATAAAAGATTACAATGGTAAATTGCATCAGAATAGAATAATACAGTGAAACTTCTTGTGCGCGGCAGTTCTCTGTTCCACAGTAGAATGATCGTTAATGGAAGTCAATAAGGGTTACCTTCATTGACTTCAAAATGTTATCGAAAGTACATGATTTTTTTTTCAAGCAATTATAATTTTACTCAGTGCTATTTTCTTGGTACGGAAATGTCACTTGTGTTGGTCTCATGGAAACCGGATAGACGAATGAAATTTAACGTCATAGCGAGGGCTCTTTTTTATGATTTCTTCCAGAGATCGTCCGAAAGTGCTCTAGTAAGAGCCACTCACAAATGTTTTGAATATAATTGAATCGATTTATTTATTTTGTTAATATTTCTTAATTTTTATATTTTTCTGTGTTTCCTTATTTGATCTTTTCCTCATTTGGTGCAGAGGTTTGCCCGGTCTATGGGGGAGGTTTTGATGTTCTCTTCGAAAAGGTTTTCTTCAGCACTTAGTCTAAGGAAAAAATTCTATGCCTCCCAAAAGTGGTCGCAAATAGAAGAGGTCGCTATTCAGAGGTGGTCTTTTCCGGAGGTTTCACTGTGCTAAAGAAAATTATTAGAATTTCGAACATCCTCATGATGCAATTTATTTTCATTTTGTAACCGTCGTTGAACAGCCGACCCAATTTTAATTTTACAATCAATGTTCAACTCAGTAGACTTGTAATTTTCAATCCAGAAGACAAGTGGGCTTCAGGAGCAGGTATCGGGAGAAATTTTGCCTCAGAGGAGGACTTTTTAATGGGACTAACCTCACAGCAAGGGGACTCTAACCCATGATTCGTCTACCACTGAAGATATTTTAAGTCAGCGCTGTGGTTGGTGCGAGCCAGATTTCAGAATTCGTATTTACCAGCCATCGCTGGGATTTGAACCAGGGGCACCTCATTAGAAGGCGATAGCTCTATCTCCTGAGTTATCACGGTTCTTCATTATGTAATGAATCACTGTTTGAATTGTATAACACAATTTTGAATTAAGTTATTCGAGGAGACAGATGTCACTAAATTTATTAATAAGGTAGATTGCTTGAGGTTTATTGGTCTTTCCTTTCTGTATAGACTGTTCATGCTTGAGATTTAAGATATTAAACCTATTAGACTAGAGTTTGGAATTATCTCAATTTGAAATGGATTTCTAATAGGGAGTGGAAACTTATAATAAATTTTTAATTGGTGAACTATCGTAATGCAGAGAAGGGGATGGAGGAATGTTTCAAAAGCCTCGTCTTTTTACATTTTTGGAAAGATAAAGCACTATTTCAATATTTTCTGAACAAAATTACTGACTTCAATAAAAAGATTCAGCTTTTATATAAATTTTTATTTATCTTTTAGTTTCAGAAGAACTCTCAAAAACAGGTAATTATGAAATCTAATATAAAAAACGTTTTGTAAAAATTTCTGCTAACAGATAGCAGACAAATGACATGACAGGTAATCAATTCAAAGGCAGTATAGTGCGGCTTTGAGGAGAACTCCTCCAGACTGAAAGTCTGGGACTGTCTATTGCTATGGTAACAAGCGAGATCACATTTCTAATGGGGGTGAAATGGAGGAAAGAAGGTGTCGATTGGTTTACTCACGACGACATGCACTAAGATTAAGACAAAACCATTCATCCCACACCCCTATTCGAAGTGACCTTTCCTCGTAACCATAGTACCCGCCACGACTCGAGACGGGTGTCTGGAGCAATTCTCCTCAAAGCCGCACTATACGTGAGGAATTAGAAAAAATAATGTTTGTAAAAATAATAAAGTTAGTTATATTAGTGATGGAATATCATGTTACATTACCTTTAATAAACATCAACTGGTTATCATTGAAATTATAGATGCTTATTGAAAATTCATTTTGATGTTTATAGTGCAAAGCTGCTCTGTTAGTAAGCCTATCGTAATATAAGGAACCATCCACTTCCACTTTTTCGTCTCTAAGTATTCCCTGAACTTCGACTTGAAATACATCTGGAAACTTGGGCTTGGGTGGATCAGTATCTAAAATTATCAACAAAAAAACTAATTTAAAACATGATTTTATATGTTCATGTTAAAAACGACAACCAAATATTAAAAGCGACGACGTTATGTTACGACTAAATATTATAAGCTAATGGTAAAATAATTTCAGTTATGGATGGTTGACTGAATGTAAACCATAACAAACTTATTCCTAAAACCGGAAGAAATTCAGAAAACTTCCTTTGTTTCCCTCCGCTTACGTAATGCTTCCGCGCGATGTGTGATCAGGCTTCATATTCCTGAAAATTTTATTATTGGGAGTTGTGTTTAAATTTATAATGTGTAATAAATAAATAAAACATTAAAATTTCCACAATAGATTTTGAGAAAAGCTGCTTTCCTTTCCTTGTTAATGCTATCAATGCTAAAATAGAATTTCAGAAAACGCATAAAAAATTGATTTTTGGGAGAGAGAAAAATATTTACATTTTATAGCGTAACATGCAAAAATGTTAAATATATCAAAACTTCAATTTTTAATTTTTTGTTGATTACGTGGATTTTTCTACTGCACAGCGAAATACACCACCGGAAAGAAAGAGGTTATTAGGTAAACGTATTTGAAAGCCTACAAAGTTTATTTTGCAGTTAAGCTAGTTTATGTCGCCAAATATGAAATTCGCACCTGGAACGAGCATACAGATGAGTCTTTTTTTTTCTCCCCCTACTGCCTGAAATGAAACAATTTTCTTATACCACTCCAACTGGCAACTCCTGAATCGAGGAGGACAAGATTCAGAATAAGAAACAAAATAACAAAGATAAGAAAATCTCCGTTTTTTTTTCCATTTTTTTTAATAAGTTATATGAAGTTATAACGGTATTTTTGAAGATTAAGGAAAATGCAAGATAATAATTTTTATCTTGTTTCTAAGCCCTAAAGCGTTGAATGATGATGAAGAAGAAGATGGTGGAAGTCAAGAAATGACATATTACTGCTTATACAAAATATATTTCAAAAAATTTTAAAATTTTTATGTTCCATGAAATACAATTTATCACAATTTAATATTTTAAATAATATAGAACTTAAAATAATTTAAAACAAATTACAATATTTTTAAAAAAAATTTTTATTTTAATTTCTCTTTTTTGAAATTTTATTTTACTTTATTTTATTAATTTCGATTTCATGCGTTTTTTTTACACAGTTCTACTACAATTTTCCTAATTTACTTTCAGTTTTTATACAATTGTAAATCTTGAGAAAGAAAATTACTTTATGCAATATTCATAAATTCATAAATACAGTCTAAGTATACAGAAAAATCTTTTACTTACTGTTTAAAAAGATCATACCTTTATTAAAAAAAAATTTCAAAGATTTATTACAAAAAATTATTATAAAAAATTTAATTGTATTTAAAAAAAATATGAAGGAACTAATTTACTCTTATTCATTTATTTACATAATCTTTATTAATTTGTAAAGTTTTCGTCTCAGATTTCAAACAATAATTTTAAATATTTTATTTTTTGCTAACTTAATCTTTTAATTCATAAATTATCCCTATATCCCTTATCTATATCCTTATATCTATCTATCTATATTATCTATATATATAATATATATACCCGAAAATTTTATTCGAAAAATAAGAACTTATATTTTCTTTAGAATAAATAACCGGTTCCGCTTTTAGTGCAGTTTCCATTTTAGAATAATAAACAAAACAGGAAAGATAAAAAAATTTGCAATTTCTTTCTACAAAGTTTCGAGAAATAATTCACACATTATATAAAATAAATCGTATTACTGAAGACTAAAAAAAATTAACACAGGTCAATATCTTGGGTCCTCATGGGTCAATATCTTGTTTCTAAGAACATGAAGAAGACAGAGGGAGCCAAAAAGCAACTTGTAGCTGTTCGCACTTAATATATGTTTTAAAATTTTTTAAATGTTCTGAAACACAGTTTAACAATTATAAAGCTTTTTATTTTGTTTATATTTCATACGTTTTACATGAATGACGAATTAATTTAAGCCATGTTATTTATTTATTTACAGCTTGTTATTTACTATCTATGCTGTTTGTATATAAATAGATAACATGCTTAAGCTTGTTATTTATTTATTTACATAATCTTTATGAAATAAATATTGCTTTTTGAAGTTTCTGACTCATGTTTTCAAATATTTAATTTTTAAGAAAAAAAAACATTTGCTTGGTTTTTAATTTTTCGATTCATGAATTTTCTTTCTAACTTATATTACTAAATTTATTATGAATTTTCTCTAATAACTATAACTCCTTATTTAGATTTGGTTGGTTAAAGACTGCTGTTCAGTAACGAAATAAAAAAAAAATCACATTTTGAGAATTGAAAAGCATTTTCACTGATAATAAAAAAAATAGAAAATAATAAATAATAATAAAATAAAAATAAATAAGTAAATAATAAATAAAAACATAATTGAATATTTAACGGATGATTTTATTGCTGATTACTTTATTTATTTATTTTCAGTAAATGTCTGCTTAAAAGCGTTCCCATGTTATTACAGAATTATTGATTACTGAAAATTTTATTCAAAAAATTGAACTTTAATTCTCCTCAGAATATTAATTTAATTCTCCTCAGTTCTTTGTAAAAATTAAATACTTTTTTTTGGCTTAAAAAATTAAATAATGGGGAAAACTATTATTTTTACCTGGAATAAGATATATCAGTGGCGTAGTTTTAATGTATTGGGGGGGGGTATCTTCTTCTTCTGTTATGCAACTAACTCGTAAAATAAAAAATAGTCATAGTTCAATTCAGGGATTAAGTAAAACGATAATTAATATATTTAATTTTCCGAACTGCAGATTTTTGAATTTAAACAGCTGTCAAACGCAGAATAATAAGAACATATTAAAATCCAATAATTTTGAAACATAATTAACTTAAATAGTTCAATTTTAATCATGCAATTAACATTATATTTTTTAACATCTTTCCAATATATCAAAAATAACTTAATATACTTTAATGAGTTTTAAAACACTTAATTGTTTTCGATTTCAGTAGATGCGTTGTTAAAATTCAAGCAACACTTTACAAATAAATTGGATTTTAAATTTATTTCATTTTTTCTCATAAAAGAGTGCCTGTAGAGTTACCCTTACCTTGAGCCTTCAAAGTGCCGATGACTAATGTGAATATCAATGAGAACTGTTTTAAATATCGGAGACGAAACATATTCATCACCTCTGAACGATATTTGCTCAGTGATAAGCAATGTATAAAATCTATAAATCCATCGGGCGTATTTGCTATCATGTTCCAATTTAATCAAAAATGTTTTATCTCGATAAATAACAAAACAATTGTATCTTATCGTGAATATAGTATTTTCTAATTCAATAGCTAATAATATTCTTTTGAGAAAAAACTGAAATAGTTTCGTGCAATTATGACAATTGGTTTACTGACTTTACTTCAAATGTAATCAGAAAGTCTCGATTGTTATTGTAACTTAACTCTGAAGTGCCATTTACAAAAGAAGATTCGTTGTCACTTCAGTCTTTCGGTTTTAGGTTAGAAGCTAGAATAAATGTATGCAAAAATAAACACTACGAGAGACCCTTCCCCAGGGCCGTTTTATCCATTAGGCACTGTAGGCAACTGCCTAGGGGCCCCGCCACGTTCAGGTGCCCTGTGCTACAGAGAAAAAAATTGACAATGTTTCTTAAACAGTAAAAATTTAATTCGAAATTTCAATGACGATTGTCTTGCTCTGTACATTACATCGACGCTATTTTAGTACATTTCTGAACGCATTCCAAATTAGATATTAATATTATGGTAGTTAGTTCATATATAACGCAGTAATATAATCGCAAGCAATTTTATCGCGGTAATTTTAACGCCGACTAATCAGATGACTGTACAGCAAGAGCAGATCAGTCGCATCAAGAATTCAAAAC